TTGAACCGCCAGCCGTCTGGTTAGCAGGCAAGTGTCTTAGCCACTATATGTTTCTAGAAATCTGTCCATGTATTCTAGATTTTCAATTTTGTTGGAGTATGATTCTTCACAGTATTCTGCTATTATTCTTTTAATTTCTGTTGGTACTGTTATGACATCACCCAATTCGTTTCTTATTCATGTTATTTGTATTCTCTCCTGCTTTTCCTTTGTTAAATTTGCCAGTGGTTTGTCAATTTCATTAATCTTTTCAAAAAACCAACTTCTAGTCTTGATTTTTTTAAATTGTCTTTCTATTTTCTGTTTCATTTATTTCTGCTCAAATTTTTATTATTTTTTTTTCTTCTGGTGACTGTAGGCCTTTCTGCTGCTCTTTTTCTAATTTTTGCAGATGTTGTGTTAAGATGATTTTGGCTGTTTCTTCTTTTTAAATGTGTGCATTTATTGCTATAAATTGGCCTCTGATCACTGCTTTTGCTGTGTCTCAAAGATTTTGGTATATTGTGTTTTCATTCTCATTTGATTCAAGGAATTTTTTAACTTCATTTTTTATTTCTTTTATTTCCCAGTCATTTTTAAGGAGGGTGTTATTCAATTTGCATGAGTTTGCTCTTTTTCCATTTATCTTCCTATTGTTGATTTCTAATTTTATAGCAATGTGATCTGAGAAGATGTTTTGCAATATTTCAGTGTTTTTAAATTGATTGAGGCTTGCTTTGTGCCTGACATATGGTCTATCCTGGAGAATGTTCCATGTGTATTGGAAAAGAATGTATATTGTGCTGTTGTTGAGTGAAATGCTGTGTAGATGCCTATAAGTTCAAGTTGGTAAATTGTATTGTTTAGTTCTTCTGAGTCTCTGTTGAGTTTCTTTCATTGAAAGTGATGTTTTAAAGTTTCGTACTATGACTGTGGAGTCATCTATTTGTCTTTTCAATTCTGTTAAAGACTGATTTATGTATTTTGGGGATCTTTCATTGGGTGCATAGATATTTATTATGGTTATGTCCTCTTGTTTAATTGATCCTTTAATCATTATATAATGTCCTTCCTTGTTTCTTATGGTGGTTTTTGTCTTAAAGTTAAATTTTATCAGAAATTAATATTGCCACTCCTGCTCTTTTATGGTTGCCATTTGCTTTAGATATCTTTTCCAACCTTTGATTTTTAGACTATTTTTGTCTTTTTTGCTGAGGCGTGTCTCTTATAGACAGCATATTGATGGGTTATGTTTTCTTATCCAATCTGCAGCTATCTCTTGAGTGGTGCATTTAATCCATTGACATTCAGTGTAATTATTGACAAGTGTGAATTTGTTGCTGTCATTTGTTATGTGTTTTCTCACGATGTTGCTGATTTCTTTGTTCCATATAATTTTCTGTGCTGAGCTCATTTTGTTTGTGAATTGTGTTATCACTTCCTTCATTGGTATTGTTTTAGTGTTTACTAAATATTTGTGCCTGTCCTCTTCTTTTTTTTTTTTTATTTTGATGTGAAGGTTTATCATTTTTCTTTAAGGTTATCCTGTAATTTTCTTTCCAAGTTTAGAACCATCTGTTCTATCTTGCAGTTGTCTTCACTTCCTCACCATTTAGAAGTTCTGTAACTACACAATTTTTTCCCTTTTTGTTTTGTAGTTGTCTTCATTTGTCAATTGATACTCTTGTTTCCGGTTTACAATCTTGTAGGCTTATTTACTTTGGATACTTCATAACTGGGTTGGTTTCTGGGTTATGTCATCATGTGTGTTAATTGTTGGTTGTTGTCTCCTGTTGTTGGTTCTCTATCCAAAAGACTGCCTTTGGCATCTCTGGTTTTAACAAATTCCCTTAATTTCTGCTTATCTGGAAATGGCCTAGTTTCAATAACATACTTGAGGGATGGTTTTACCAGGTATATAATTCTTGGTTGTAAATTTTTTTCTTTCAGGGTTTTATTTATTTATTTATTTATTTATTTATATTTTAAGAGCTTGTTTTACATTCAACATTACATGTAAATTTAGTTTCACTCCCCATTTACCATGTCCAACCCTAGCCCAGTCTCCTCCCCTCCCTACCGTGTAACCCTCTTCCTGTGCCCCTCGTATTTATGCACTTTTGTTTGTCCTGCATTTCCTCAATTTGAATGTAGGTCCTCTGGTGCCCTGTGGTCTATTGCTATAAAGGATGTATTACCATAGAGTATGTAAGTGTGTCATCCTGGGTTGAGTGGTCTGCATGTACATCTTGTTAACTATTGGGCTGAGAACCAGCCCCTGAGGGGGTGCATTTTTTTCTAGGCACAGAATGCATTCCAGGGCCATAGTATTGGGGTCTCATCAGATTTCATCTGACCAGTAATTCTGGTCATTATTGAGTTTTTGGATTTTGTTCTGTTTTTCCTCCCACTCTATCCAGGAGCTCCAGATTTGATCCTTTCCTGAGTGATTGGCATTGGTAGCTGGGCACCATCTAGTTCTTCTGGTCTCGAGAGCCATCATGTCCTATGGCTGATTGCTTCTAAATGCCCACCCCCTTTTTTTTTTGCATTCTTCTTCACTTCTGATAGCAGACTGTTAGCTGCATCTTAGATGGCCGATTGAAAGCTTTTAAGACCCCAGTCACTACTCACCAAAGTAGGATGCAGACCAAGGCTTTCATGTATTTTGTTGTGCCAATTGAGTCTGGTGTTCCCCATACTATGGTCCTGAGTTGGTAGATCTATTGGATCTCTCTTTCCTCCCATAGTGTCTGGGTGTCTGTGACAGATTACTCTGTGTCTGTCTTCCGTTGTTTCTGTAAGGATTGAAGGTATTTTGTATCACTGGTATCTGTGCAAGATTAGCCTCAGTTGAATCTATCCTTGGTCTAGAGTATACTCCTGTTCACTGACCCTTATCTGATCCTCTCAGCTGTTTATGTGTTTGTCTGTAGCCTGGTGTTTGGTGTTAATGGCTATGCAGTATTGTGGACACACTGGTGGTGTTAGCATTTGTCGTCTATCTCCTATGTGCACAATTCAGTGTCCTCCCATTTCCTAATTTTATCATAGTGGTCACAGATCCTTTCTATATATCCCTCCCCTTACCCACGTCAGGGTTTTATATATGCCATCCTATTGCCTTCTCATCTGCATGGTTTCTGCCAAGAAATCAGAGCTTAGTCTTATTGATTGCCCTTTGTAGGTACCTGCATTAAATTCTTACTACTTTATATTTATGTTCTGTTTTGTGGTGAATGGAAATATTTACTTGTTTATTTATGTTTATGTATTTTTGTGTCTTTGTCTACTTGTCATATATATATATGTTTTCAGTGTGGAGCAATGGTCTTAAATCATGACCTTTCAATGTCAAACTCACAGGAACTCTCACAAAGACTTTAGGATGAAACTCTCACCTAAGATGAGACTTAGCACATCTTTCTTGGATATTCTTGCAAGTCATCAGCCCAAATTTATTTTTATTTGATGGAGTAATATCTTTTCATATTTTTTTGTATTTTGCTAAGGAAATTTTTCTGTACCTCTAAAGGTAAAAAACTATTTTCCAAAGAGTTTTTCTAATATTTACTCGTTTATTTTTATAACATCAAAATATCAAATGATAATGGATTTTATTTTTATTATATTCTGCACTGTATTATTTTGGGATGATAGCTAATTATACCAGTTCTATTTATTAAATAATTTATTATTTAGCCATTGAATCAAGAGGGCAAATTTGAAAGTATGTTAGATACCCATATGTTTCACATCTATTTTTTATCTTCCTCTGATTTATTTTTCAGATTTCATACCAAAACCATGCTGTTTTGATCATATGACTTTTCAATAAGTTTCAATATCTATTTCCTATAGTGGTCTTTCTAGAATGATTTCCTAATAACTTTTCCCAAGAAGAGCAGCTTTAAAAAACAAAAAGAAAAAAGATTATAATGTCACAGACTATTCTCATGACAAGCAAAAATCCAAGTAGAATTTAGACTTTTTCATCACAAGTGAGATGCCTAGGAGGAATCTTAATTCTATTTTGGTCCTCTCTGTGTCAGGCCTATGAAGTCCATCAGGAAACCAGGAAGTCTACCAGCCTAGAAGTTCAAGGTGTGGAAATTGACATGTTCTCTGAAGGTGATGATTGTCTGACAGCACACAATCCCCGAAAGGTAATTTTACCAGGGTATTGTCTGAGGGAACATGCAGCTCATCCACATGCTTTTTCCAGGTTAGCCATTATGGAAAAATATCACGATTAATATAAAGAAAACTGCCGCAACTGGGTCTTAAGCAAAGATCTAGGCCAGGGTTGCTCAACATTGGCACTATGACATTTTGGGCAAGATAATTCCTTGATGCAGAGGGCTGCCATGTGTTATAGGATGTTAATCAGCATCCATGGCCTTATCCACTAAATGGCAATGGAACTCCCTCTGTTGTGACAATCAAAAATGTCTCCGGACAGTGCCAAAATGTATTCTAAGGGGGAGGGGCACAGTCACTCCTAGTTGAGAACCACTGGTTGAGACAGATTATGCCAGGAGTTGGGAAAGCTGAAAGTCACAGTCCCAGGAAAGTAGCCTTCTCCTCATGACCTGGCTTCCCTATTAGGGTTAGACAACCTATCAAGAGTATGGTTTGTCAGGAAGAAAAGGTGAAAGTATTATGTCTTCATTTGCCTTTTCTCATCCAAAGAAGAACAGTTAGAGATTCTTTCCTGAAGTCAAAGCTGGCCAGAGTGCTTAGAAAAGGACCCAGTAGGAGAGACTCTTTCCCAACACCCCTCATATCTAGAAGCCTTTACTTAGCTAACTGCATCTCTAACATGTCAGATAATGAAGAATTGGGTACTAATTTGTGGGTGAGAGAGGGTGTTGGTAAATGACTCTGCCCCTTTCCTCTGTTCTGATGTGCAGAAATCTGACGCCAACAGTGTGCTGTCGGAATGTAGCACCATAGATCTTGTGGATCCCTTTATGCGGGTATCTGAAATGGTCCCCAAGAAGCAACCAGAGAGATGTTTGCCCAAAGGTAAGTGGCAGAATTTCTGTTCTTCAATGAAGCTCTGAAGTTTTGGGAGATACCTTCTTTCTACTTCTGTTGGGGAGAAGAGCAAAGAGAAAGCACCCACAGATTCTTGGGGTCCAGTATCCATTCCAGGATGAGGCAATTTAGGAAAGCTGAGCCTACATGGTCCAAAAACCAGGATAGATGCTCTAGAAAACTTTTCTAGAAGTCCCACTGGGCCAACATGTCTGCAGCTTTGTATAGTCCCCAGTACATCCTCTGCCAGCATGTATTTGAGGTTATATACTTTGAAAACTTGACCATAGTCCAGTGTTGACCAGAGCCCTTGCCACACCCTCAATTCATCCCTTAGATATTCTTCTCTGGGAGGCAGGAGAGCATTGTAGTCCAGAATGTTGGCTCTGGAGCTGTTGTCTGTGCTTAAAGTCTGACCTCTCCCTACTAGCTGTGTGATTTATTCAATTTGTTTAACTTCTCTATGCCTTATTTATAAAATGGTGATAATAATAGTACCTGCTGTAAAGCATTATTGTGAATATTAAGTGAGAATATAAATCATGTCGGAGAGTGTTTGGCACAAAATATGCATTAAGAAATGAAGCCTTTCCTGACTCTCTCAGTGGATGTAATGGCCCTTTCCTAACTGCCTTCATTATTTCCTGTATTCATTGTGAGGAATTTATTTCTGTCTGTCTCTCTATGAAGTTCTTAAAAACAAAAGTAGTGACTTATTCAAGACTGTTTATCTAGTGTGAGTCCCTGAGTAGTGCAAACAGTTAACCACTCAACTTCTAATCAAAAGGTTGGTGATTCTAACCTACCCAAAGATGCCTTGGAAAACAGGCCTGGCAATCAGTTTCTGAAAGATCACAGCCTTGAAAACCCTGTGGTGCAGTTGTACTCTACACACATGAGGTCACTATGAGTAAGAATCAACTTGATGGCAACTAACAATAACATATGTAGTGTGAAAATAGGACCTGACCCAGATGATGAGCCAAAAAGAGGGGTCAAAAAAGAGACTTTACTTCTTTAGTGGGAGGGACTTCAAAGTCACATGGGAAGGGACATACATACAGGGAGGAGTGAAAATTGGGGCAGTTAATGTGATTTACCACAGAGACTAATGGTCATGCTACTGCTGATTCCTTCCAGGCCTAGCTCTCTGCTTTCCATGCTGTGGTGTGGACAAGAGAAAGTCCCCCTGGGCTACGTGGTGGAACCTGCGGAAAACTTGCTACCAAATAGTGAAACACAGCTGGTTTGAGAGTTTTATTATCTTTGTGATTCTGCTGAGCAGTGGTGCACTGGTAAATTATCATTGTCTTGTAGAGGCATTGGGGATCAAGGTGGCTGAGGGAGTTGCATTTTGGCCTGATCCTTCATGAGACTGTGAAAATGGGGAGAGCAGGTAGTGGAATCTTTGCTGGTGGTTCCTCTTAGGGGAGAGGGTTTTGCATAACAACTTCTGGAGTCATGCTCCCACTGGGAAATCCCTAAGCCAAAGACATTTTACCTGTGGGGAAAAGCTCCTGGAATCCAGCCCTTGAGCCCAGGTGCGTCCATCTACCCCTCACTCTTGGAGGAGATTTTCACTGTGTCCTATGTGTTTCTTCCTCTAAATCAGCAATACTCTTTTCCTCCCTTCCCCTGAAGACCATAATGTTGTTTTCTAAAAGGCAAAATGCTAAGGGGAGAGGTCTACATGGACCATATTAGGATATACTAATTGCTGTGTTACTTGCCATCACTCATAGTCCCTTGAGTGCTCTTGATCATTCATTAGCCATTGTTGTTGTTGTTGTTTGCCGTCGAGTCGGCCCCGACTCATAGCGACCCCTCCTTGGGTTTCCGAGGCAGTATCACTACGGAAGTAGGATTGCCCAACCTTCCTTCCAAGGAGTGGCTGGTGGGTTTGAACCTCCAGCCTTCTGGTGAGCAGTCAAGTGCCTTAGGCACTATGCTACCAGAGCTCCCCATTAGCCATTAGAGAGAGGCAAATCAAAACAACAATGAGATATCATCTCACCCTGGCAATAATAATAATAAATAAAAAAAAGTGTTAGTGAGGGTGTAGAGAGATTGGGACTCTCATACACTGCTGGTAGGATTGTAAAATGGTACAAACACTGCGGAAAGTGGTATGGCACTTCCTTAAAAAGCCAAAATAATGTACACTGGGAACTCTAGTCCAGAGCTTCCAAACTCTTTTGCATGTCATGGAGCACATATAAAGTGGTCATATTTGCTGTGAACATTGGTGTAAATGGGTAAGGCTGCTTGTAGTGGAAGATGATGGGACTCAGGGTTAGCAGGATCTAGAGTATGGGCTAAAGAGTTTGGACTTGATATTATAGGCAATGGAGAACCATTTAGAGCATTTCAAATAAGAAAGAAGATGAAAGAGATGGTATGGACCACTGGGTGGTTCTGGAAACATCATATAGTTGACAAGAGTTGAAACTATTGGAAAGTCTAGGCAATGGTGTAGTGAGACTAGAGGCAGGGTGACCCATTAGGAAGTGCTTTTATATTCCAGAAGAGCAATGATGGAAACATGGGGAGCTACAGCTCCCCATTTCTGCAGCAATAGGCCTTTCCTTCTTCCATTTTCACTCACGCAAGGAATCAATCCCATTGGAAACATTCAGCCTTAACATCTTTTGAGCAAAACCTTAATTACCAAGAGAGATACCAAATGACTCATATAAAGAAAACAAATAAAAAGCAAACTTGGCAAGAAGTTCTATGCAAATATTCAACCTGGCCTAAGGCTGTGCTTTATCATTTCAGATCTTTGAAGACATTCACCTTCAGGAACAGCCCAACATCCAAAACTTACTTAATTGTACTGACAGGATTTTCACATACATTTTTATCCTGGAGATGGGTCTGAAATGGTTGGCCTTTGGATTTAGGACATACTTTACCAGTGCCTGGTGCTGGCTGGATTTCATCATTGTGATTGTAAGTTTATCATTTGTGTCCCATGTGGATGGGGGTGGGGAGTGGGTTGAAGAGGTAGGAGATCATATAGGAGCTGCTTTTCCTGTGTGTCTCATCTGTGTACCCCTTCAACATACTTTTCTTGCTGTCATTGCGTCTTCACACTACTTGTAAGTACTTATAATTTATCCGTCAGCAGTCCAGCCTTCCCGGGGTTCCATCCCTGATAAACTGTATTTCGTATACTCACCACCCAACCCCTTCCGTGGGTGGCACTCATCCAGGTCACTCCATAAGCACTGCTTATGTCTGGTATATACATAGAATACCTTTGAGTACCCTCCACATTCCCCTCTCCTTCAATTTTCATTTCTTTTCAAGACAACTCAAAGCAAGTCAGGAGCCAACAGGTTGGGCTGATCCCCATCTTGATTGTCAAAAAACATAGGAGGATTGTTCACACACATTCTCTCATTTAATCTGTACAACAGTGTTCTCAGTTAAGCAATACCTACCACATTACAGACAAGAAAACCTGAAGCTTGGGGAATCAGCAATTTATTTCAGGTCATAGAGTTGGATAAGCAGTAAAGTTAGGATTCACACCTCAGTCCAGATGATAGTAAGGCTAATTATAGAAGTGTTGTTGTTGTTGCTGTTACTTGCTCAGTTGCCATCGAGTTGATTCTGACTCATGGCAACCCATGTGTTTTAGAGTAGAACTGCTCCATAGGGTTTATTTTATTTATTTTAAGAGCTTGTTTTACATTCAACGTTCCCCATTCACCATGTCCAACCCTAACCCCAACTCCTCCCCTCCCTACCCTGTAATCCTCCCCCTGTGCCCCTCCTATTTATGCACTCCTGTTTGTCCTGCATTTCCTCACTTTGAATGTTGGTCCTCTGGTGTCCCATGGTCTATTGCTCTATGATGTATTACCATAGAGTATGTGGGTGCATCATCCTGGGTTGAGTGGTCTGCGTGTACATCTTGTTAACTATTGGGCTGAGATCCTACCCTTGGGGATGCGTTTTATTCCAGGCACAGAATGTATTCCAGGGCCATAGTATTGGGAGTCTCACCAGATTTCATCTGACCAGTAATTCTGGTCGTTACTGAGTTATTGGATTTTGTTCCACGTTTTCCCTCTCACTCTATCCAGGATCTCCAGATTTGATCCTTTCCTGAGTGGTTGGCTTGGTAGCCAGGCACCATCTACTTCTTCTGGTCTCAAGGGCCATCGTGTCGTAGGGCTGGTACCATTTTTTTTTTTTTTTTTTTTTTTTCCACTTTCTCCTTCACTTCCGGTGCTAGGAGACCGTTAGATGCATCTTAGATGGCCACTCGAAAGCTTCTAAGATCCCAGTCACTACTCACCAATGTAGGATGTGGAGCAATGCTTTTATGTATTTTGTTGTGCCAATTGAGTCTGGTGTCCTCCATAGGGTTTTTAAAGCTGTGCCCTTTCAGAAGAAAATTGCCAGGTTTATCTTCTGAGGTACCTGTGGGTAGATTCGAACCACCAACATTTTGTCTGGTACTTGAGTTCTTAACCATTTGTGCCACCCAGGGACAGAATAATGGACCACATTTATTGATGCTCTATCTGTACCAGGTACTCTGCCAAGTGCTTCACATGCATTGTCTCTTTTAGTTACCACACATTTCCTATGTAGTAGGTACTCATGTTTTTTTCCCATTTTCAGAGGAAGTAACTAAGTCATAGAGAAGCTAAGAAACATGTTTAAGATAAACCAGCTAGAAGTGGTGGAGATGAGACTCAAGCCTAGTAAGTTTCAATCCAGAGCCCTTGATTTTAATATCTGTACCTTTTCTAATCATGAGAGAATTAGCCAGAGTTTGTCCCTGCTATTTGTTTATTTTTAATGTTTTATTGTGCTTTAGGTGAAAATTTACAGTTTTCCATTCAACAATTCATACTCATTTTGTTTCATGCCATTGATTGCAGCCCCCACAATGCAACAACACTGATCCCACTTCCCTGCAGTTTACCGTTTTCATTTGTCCTTCTTTCTTATCTCTTCCTGCCTTCTGAACTTTATTCCTAGGCAAATGCTGCCCTATTGATCTCTAGTGGTTGATTGTTCCAAGGAGTGCAAACCTCCCTGGGGTTATGTTTGCCTTATAGACCCTTCTATTGTTTGTCTGAAAGTTGGGGGTGGGGGTGAGTTCAGTTCCAGGCCTGAAGGGTGACTAAGGGCCATAGTCTCAGGGCTCCACCAGTCTATCCCACCAGAGAGCCTGGTCTTTTTTTTATACTATTATTTTGAGTTTCATCCCACATTTTTCTCCCACTCTATCCAGAAATTTCTAATGTGATTCCTTTCAGAGCTGTTGGCAGTGGTAGCCAGGTACCATCTAGTTCTTCTAATCTCAGGGTCATGGAGGTTGGGGTTCTTGTGGTCCATTAGTCCTTTGGACTAATTGTTTCCACGTACCTTTGCTTTTCTTCACTTTTCTTTTCTCCAGTGGGGAAAGATAATAGTTGCACCATAGGTGGCCACTCACAAGCTTTTAAGACCCTAGTCAATACTTGCCAAAGTAGGATGTAGAATATTTTCTTTATGGATTATGTTGTTCCAATTCACCTTGATGTCCCTGAAGACTATGGTTCTGAGCCTCCAAGCCCAGCAACTCATTCCCTCAAGTTGTTCTGTTATGCCTAAGAAGTTTTCATAACTTTGATCCCTATACACTCTACTATACTGATGGATATATTTGCAGCCTATATATATATGCATATATATCCTCTGTCAAACCTATATATATTTGTAGGTGTAGTCCCATTCAAGGAGCTCTGGTAGTGTAGTGGCTAAGGCACTTGACTGCTAACCAGAAGGCCGGTGGTTCAAACCCACCAGCCACAACTTGGAAGGAAGGTTGGGCAATCTACTTCCATAGTGATACCAACTCAGAAACCCAAGGAGGAGTCCCTATGAGTTGGGTCCAACTTGACACCACATAACAACAACAACAGTCCCATTTACCTTCCCACACCTATTCACCTTTCATATCTATTTATCCACTCATAGATTATTGTTGTTACTGTTTTTGCAGGATTGTATATGCAATTGTATTTATCTCTGCTGCCCTTAACTCTTGTGTTCCTCCTGTGTCTTCCTTTGCCTTGTTCAGTTTGTCCTGACTTCTTCCTCATTGTGTGTCCCTTTCCCTTCACCCAAGTTAATATATGTCTACTCTCAAAGTATTAAATTACCATCCCTTCCTTTCCCATCCCTTGTATCCATCAAAGAATGTTTCTTTCTGTGTGAAAACTTTTCTTGACTTTTATAATATTGGTCTCATACAAAATGTCTTCCAGGTTCATCCATGTTATGAGGTGTTTCTCAGTTTCATTGTTATTCTTTAATGTTGTATGTTGTATGTATGTACCATAGTGTGTTTATTATTCATCCATTTATGGGCATTTAGGTTGTTTTCTATCTTTTTGCTATTGTGACTAGTGGTGCAATGAACATAGATGTGCATATATCTGTTCATGTCACAGCTGTTATTTCTGTAGGATATATACCTAGTGGTATATAGAGCTTTGATGGTGCAGTACCTAAGGCATCTGGCATCTGCCTGCTAACCAGAAGGTTGGTGGTTCAAACCCACAAGCTGCTCCACAGAAGGAAGATGGGGCAATCTATTTCTGTAAATATTTACTGCATTGGCAAGCCAATGGGGGTTGCTATGAATTGGAATCTACTCGATGACAGTGAGCTTTTTTTTTTTTTTTTAAATATCTAGTAGTGGGATTGTTGGATTTTATGATATTTCTATTTCCAACTTTTTAAGGAGCACTATCCATTTTCCACAGTGGTTGTACCATTTTCCACAGTGGTTGTACCATTTTATAGTCCCACTAGCATTGTATAAGAGTTCCAGTCTCTCCGCACTCCTGCCAGCATTTGTTATTTGTCCCTGCTGTTAAGAAAGTAGATGTAACAAATACATGAGCACAAGTCATGTTGCTAACAAACCCCACTGAAGAACCATAAAGTTTTTGGTAGACACAAATAGGACATGTGGTCTGGCATTTTAAAAAGGCATTGATGCCATAGGAGCTCCAACAAGAATCAAAGAGAGGAATAAAAATATCCACATATGTTTCAGTCCTACAAGCTTCCAGAGTACAAATCACTCTGCACCCAATATCTTAGATTATAGTGAAGAATCTACAAGTTAGGTGGAATGATTGTTACTTCTATTCTAGGGGCCTATGATTTACTGAGAAAAGCCTAAATCTAACTGGTGTACTCTATCTGCTCTTGTCTTTCTGCATGATCATAAGCAAAGTAGTTTCCTTCTTTCAACATTCGTTTTCACAAGGATAAAAATGAGGGTGTAACTAACTATAAACCACACAAGTATAAAATGAAAAGCATAAATCTAGCAATAATCATTAAAAAATCAAAACAGCCAAAAACTACCCTGTCAGAAAAGGGCACTAGGCCTAGATAGTTTTACAGGCGAGTTTTACCAAACTTCCAAGGAATATTATAATATTATAGACATAATCTAAAAAAATTAATAGAATAAGAAAATAAAATGACTGCTAAACATTTTTTATGAACATAGATATGAAAATCTTAAATAAAATGTTAGAAAATTGTATCCAGCCATTCATTTAAAAATACATAATGACTAACTTTTTTTATCTGAGGAATTCAAAGACTTCTCAACCTGATGAGTAAGATAGAATGGGAAAGAATGTGGATTTTTTTTTTTTATGTCTCAATATCTCATCTGTCCTCCTAACTTGGTGTCACAGAAACTGGGAATGAAGTTCCCAGTGAAAAGGTGTATGATGTCCTTCTGGGAAAACTTCTTCCCCAGCAATGATAGTAGTGATTTTGGAAAACCAGAAGAACTGCCGAGCTTTGCTATCCTCTTCCCCCTGGCTAGGACCAAGGCAGAAGGAGTATTTGTGGAAAAACTGCTTTAATAACTCTCCCAACAAGCAATACTTTTACAAAATGCTTATTTGAAAACTAATATTCTCTGGTAGCATAGTGGCTAAGGCGCTTGACTGCTAACCAGAAGGCTGGAGGTTCAAACCCACCAGCCACTCCTCTGAAGGAAGATGGGGTAATCTACTTCCGTAGTGATACCACCTCAGAAACCCAAGGAGGGGTCACTATGAGTCGGGGCCAACTCGATGGCACACAACAGCAACAACAAATTCTATTAAAATCATCAGATAAATGTTTTTTTTGAATTGATAGTTATTTCTTGGGAGCTCTGGTAGCATAGTGGCTAAGACACTTGCCTGCTAACCAGACGACTGGCGGTTCAAACCCACCAGCCACTCCTCGGAAGGAAGGTTGGGCAATCCTACTTCCGTAGTGATACTGCCTCGGAAACCCAAGGAGGGGTCGCTATGAGTCGGTATGACTCGACGGCACATAACAACAACAACAACAAAGTTATTTCTTTAAAAAATTAATTACAAATTTTTAAATCTTGATATACTCTCGTATTAACTCTCTTAACTTGAAAATATTTTATTAGGGCAGTGGAGTTGGAAGAGTTAGTGTGGGATATTTTTAGGTAATGAACTCTGATGTTGAATATCAACATTCCCTTCCCGTACAGCTGAACAACTCCCCTTCCAAGTCAATCCTCTGAATACTCTTTATAACAATAAAAATGGCTGAACATCTGGAAAAAGCAGTCTTTGACTTAAGCTCAGCATATTGTTTTAACTTAGTATGCTTATAGAGCACCTAGCAGCAACAACACAGAGCTTTCCAAACCTCAACCCTGTCTTTCTGGGGAGAAGTATGTTGGGAGAGAAAATTGCATTTAATTCCCCAAAAAGGAGTTATTTGAGTAAGGGGAAATATTAGCAACCAATTTATTACTTCTTTTTATTTTGATATAACTTTAGACTTCCAGAAAAGTTGCAAAACACAGTATAAAAGAACACATTGTATTCTCTTTGCATACTCACCAGTTTTTAACATTTCACCCCACTTTCTTTGCTTTTTGTTTCTCTGCTTTTTTCTAAACTATTTTAAATCAAGTTGCAGACATCATGCCCCCTTGTCCCTAAACATTTCAGTGTGTTTCCTAAGAACAAGGGCATTCTTTCACATAATTACAAGAATTCTCAAAATTTGAAAATTCAACATTGCATCAATACTAAAATTGACAATCCATTTTCAAATTTTGTCAAATTGTCACAGTAAGATCCTTTATAGCTAATTTCCCTCCTCAGTCAGGATTCAATCCAGTATTCCACATTGCACTTAATTATCACATTTCCTTGCTTTACTTTAATATAGAACAGTTCTTTCTTTATCTTTTATTAAATAAGTAAAGCAAATGCATCATTCTCACCTTTATGGATTGTAGCTTTGCCAGACAGTCAAATGGACTCTTCACCTGCCCTCTCCCTTCCAGCACTATCTGACAGTCTTCTAGCAAGCTCTGTCGGGTTAGACTACATGGACATAATATGCCTGCCTTCTCAGAATGACGACTCTGAATCCCCTGTCAGCTTCCTTGGGCATGCTGTCAGGTACTACCTGTGGCTTTTTCTCCTGGCAGGTCTCTGTGATAAGTCTCTCCAACTTAAAGGAATTAAAATCCTTCCGGACTCTGCGAGCCCTGAGGCCTCTTCGAGCATTGTCCCAGTTTGAAGGAATGAAGGTAAGTTCTTCAGGTGGATAGGAGAAAGCTCAGCTAGCAAAGGAAGGATATTAGTTCTCTCAGGCTTGGGTTTCTTTAAATTGCCAAGATTTTCCTGGGCTCCTTCCCACTCAGCCCAGTGCTTACAATTTGAGAGCTCTCTGGAGAGAAGTCTAAGTCTGTAGTCTCTACCGTAAAAGAGCCAAGATAGGCTCTGCCTTCCCCTCAGAATCCTAAGGCAGGAATCTCATAAGTCCATCACTAGAGGACAATTCTCCAGTTATTCTAAGTGGCAATAGAAAGGAAACACATGACTCATCAAGCTGAGAGAAGGGGTGAGGACAGAGTGTGGAGAATGAAGGCATGGCTTGAAGAAATCCAGCATCACACAGTGGACGCAGCCTGGGGAGATCAAGAGCTTGGTGACTCTTACCTGCTTCTTGGAGTGTTTTTCTTCCATTTTGTTTCTTCAAGGTGGTGGTCAATGCTCTCATAGGTGCCATACCTGCCATTCTGAATGTTTTGCTTGTCTGCCTCATTTTCTGGCTTACATTTTGTATTCTGGGAGTAAACATATTTTCTGGAAAATTTGGAAGATGCATCAATGGAACAGATAGGAACGCAGTTATAGATTATGAAAGAATTGCAAACCGAAGCCAATGTGAGAATGAAAATTTTTTCTGGGTCAACCTGGAAGTCAATTTTGACAATGTGGGAATGGCTTACCTCGCCCTGCTGCAAGTGGTAAGTGTTCTTGGCATGTGTTTTTACCCTGAGGAGAGCAAACTTAAAAGAACTATAAACAATTTTTCAGGTAATAACAATGCAGCAACTCCATTGAGATAATCCTTATATGGGAGCCAATGCCTTCTAGAATTGTCCCGAGTATCTCCAAATTTATTGTTTACTGAGCGCCAGTCTCCAAGTGATATCCCTTTGAAGGGCTATACATCTCACCTTGTCCTCCATGGCATCTTGCTTTCCAGACCTCAGACAGAGAGGGAAGGGGCCGAAGATGCCAGATCATCCATTAAATATGGTTCCTTGTTGGAAGCCAGCTCCAGGTCAAACCATAGTACCCAGGTCTTGCACATACCGTGCAAACAGATGTGGCATCAGGAAACAGGAGACAAAACTTAATCAGGAGAACAAAACAACTGGTCCACACGATCTCTAATAATTTTCTGAGGTGTAAATTTTTTTTGTTTTTTTAAATTTTTATCTTGTGCAAATGAAGTAGAAGAGGAAAAAATACAAGACACCCCATCCTTAAGCAACCTTTCACTGTTCTTTCATTTGGACTTTCTGTCCTGGAAGGGTAAAACATCATCTTAAATACGTCTCCCCACTGGGCCTTATTTGCATTGCATGGCGTGTGTCTGTTGACAGCAAGTGTACAATTATGTTCTTATTTCTTTGCTTTTATTGCAGGCAACATTTAAGGGTTGGACAGAAATTATGTATGCAGCTGTTGATTCCAGAGGGGTGAGTCTGTGTTTCACCCTATTACATAGTGCTGAGGTCAAATCAGGTATATCATGGACAGTCCAGAGTTTCCTACATCATAGTTCCAGTGGCCAGAATTTCTCATCTTTGTTTCTTTGAAACAAGACACCATGAAAAAACATTGCTCAATTTAAAAGGTACTTATGCATCTTCCAGTAAGAATCTGCCACCTTAGCATACTGCAGAGTCCAATCTACTTTCTCCATGAAGACCAAGGAGAAACCACTCACGTAAGAGATGGGGCCAGAAGCAACAAAATCACAGGGGCCTTGATTTTCCTCTATCTCACCTTTTCTTCTCTGCTATTCATAAGGTTTTCCCTGGCCAGTTTTTGAGAAGTGGATGGCCTCTTCCTTCTTCCTAGTCTGTCTTAGTCTGTAAGCTGCATTGAAACCTGTGCATCACGTGCATCTCTGCTGGCGTCTGAAACACCAGTGGCACAGCCTCAAGCCTCACAGCAATGTGCAAGCCCCGCAGGATAACAAACTGACAGACAAGTTTGTCTTCCTTAGCTGTTAGAAAACTCTGCACTCTCCCCTTACCTAATTCCTACCTGGAACCTGCCACTTTGTGGTCCCTGGCCGCTCTCTCCCTTTCCTGGCTCCAGGGGACTTGGAGCCTAGCCTTTCCTCCCTCCACTTTACCTGGATATCATACCGTTCCGGAGGTCCCAGGCCTCTCCTACTCCCTCCCTTTCCTGGCTCTAGGGGGCTAGGGGCCTAACTTGCCTCCTGCTCCTTTTTACCTGGATATCCTGCTGTTCTGCAGGTCCCCAGCCTCACCTGCTCCCTCCCTTTCCTGGCTCCAGGGGACTTGGGGCCTAGCCTTGCCTTCACAAATGGAAGAAATGACAAGATAAAAGAGCTAAACAGAAGGTTTCAAAGAGCAGCCCGAGCCGACAAAGCCAATTACTATAATGAAATGTGCAAAGACCTGGAGTTAGAAAACCAAAAGGGAAGAACACGTTCAGCATTTCTCAAGCTAAAAGAACTGAGGAAAATATTTAAGCCTTAAGTTGCAATATTGAAAGATTCTATGGGAAAAATGTTGAATGATGCAGGAAGCATCAAAAGAAGATGGAAGGAATACACTGTTACTGTACTGAAAAGAACTGGTCGATTTTCATCCATTTCAGGGGGTGACATATGATCTAGAACCAGTGGTACTGAAGGAAGAAGTTGAAGCTGCACTGAAAGAATTGGTGAAGAGCAAACAAGGTTCCAGGAATTGATGGACTACTCATTGAGATGTTTCAACAAATGGATGCCCTGCTGGAGGCATTCACTTGGTTATGCCAAGAGATTTGGAAGACAGCTACCTGGCCAACTGAATAGAAGAGATCCATATTTGTACCCATTCCAAAGAAAGGTGATCGCACAGAATATGGAAATTATCGAACAATATCATTAATATTACATGCAAGTAAAATCTTACTGAAGATAATTCAAAAACAGTTGCAGCAGTATATTGACAGAGAACTTCCAGACATGCAAGCTGGATTTGGAAGAGGACATGGAATGAAGGATATCATTACTGATGTCAGATGGATCTTGGCTTGAAGCAAAGAATACCAGAAAGATGTTTACTTGTGTTTTATTGGCTATGCAAAAGGATTTGATTGTGTAGATCATAACAAATTATGGATAACATTGAGAAGAATGGGAATTCCGGAACACTTAATTGTAGTCATGAGGAACCTGGTACATAGACCAGGAGGCTGTCATTTGAACAGAAAAAGGGAACACTACATGGTTTAAAATCAAGAAGGGAGTGTGTCAGGGTTGTTTCCTTTCACCATACTTATTCAATCTGAATGCTGAGCAAATAATCCAAGAAGCTGGACTATATGAAGAAGAACATGGCATTAGGATTGGAGGAAGAATCATTAACAATCTGTGATACACTGGCGACACAACTTTGCTTGCTGAAAGTGAGGATGACTTGAAGTACTTACTGATGAAGATTGAAGAATACAGTCTGTAGTATGGATTACATCTCAATATAAAGAAAACAAAAATCTTCACAACTGATCCTATAAGCAACATTACGATAAATGGAGAAAAGATTGAAATTGTCAAAAGCTTCCCATTACTTGGTTCTACAATCGATGCCAATGGAAGCAGCAGTCAGGACATCAGACGATGTATAGCACTGGGCAAATTGGCTGCAAAGGACCTCTTTCAAGTGCTGAAGGGCAAAGATGTCTCCTTGAGGAGTAAGGTGTGCCTGACACAAGCTATGGTATTTTCAATCGTCTCATATGCACGTGAGAGCTGGACATTGAATAAGGAAGACTGAAAAAGAATTGATGCTTTTGAGCTGTGGTGTTAGTGAAGAATGCTGAAAGTACCATGGACTGCTAGAAGAACTAACAGGTCTGTCGTGGAGGAAGTATAGCCAGAATGCCCCTTAGAGGTGAGAATGGCCAGACTTCGTTTCACATTCTTTAGTTATGTTGTCAGAAGGGACCATTCCCTGGAGAAGGATGTCATGCTTGGTAAGGTGGAGAGTCGATGAAAGAGGGGAAAGCCCTCAAACGGATGGATTGACACTGTGGCAGCAGTGATGGGCTCAAGTATAGCAAGAATCATGGAGCTGGCTCAGGACTGGGCAATGTTTCGTTCTGCTGTGCATAGGGTCACTATGAGTTGGAAACTACTCAACAGCACCCAACAACACCTCTTCTTCAAATGAATGGACAGGCAGAAGCCAAGTTTCAAAGGGAACTTACCCTTGACTATGGGAAAACCTTAAGACTGGACTAAAACTGAGCAAGAGAGACCCTTCCATGGCCCAGGCTCTCCAGAGACTAAAGGAGTTTCTGGTGATTGCCAACTGTTGAATTTCTAGCTAATCTAGAAAGCGATCATGGCTTTAAAGTGTTGGAAGAATACTGAATAATCTCATCCATTTCCATTTCCCAATTGGGAAAACTGAGGGATAAAGAAAGGGAGTTGCCTAAAGCAATCAATGAACAAATGGTTGTATCAGGGATAGAACCAGGATTGCTAATTTTCTCATATTGTAATATGTGGGTGTGTGTTGTTTGTTTGAGAATCTGTAGAGTTGATTTCTGGCACATCTTAAGTGTTTGATACATGGGAGCTACTAGTGAGAGGTATATGAACAGTGATATAGAAATAGTAGAGGTAATTTACAACAAAAGAAATATCTTAAAATTATTAATGTGTTCATTTCTTTTACTTTTTGAGTACATGATTTTCACCCGAGTTTGCCTTAGGCATCCATCTGCCTTGACGTGGAGTTGAAGGATGGGGAGGAGGACTTACTAAATGTATGGGAGAAGTATGTGGCTCACATATGCTCCCAGAATGAGTGATAGGTGGAAGGAAGTGTGTGGAGGGTCCCTTCCCTGATGCTTGTCCTGCAGATGTAATCTGGCTTCTAGCACGATGACCCTTGTCTGTGTAGTCACAGAGCATCCTGCTGGTTTCAAATACCGAAGCTGTGACTGGTAAAACCATGAACAATTCCTCCTGGCCTCAAATGCAGGCTTTTTTTTACCCTGGCTATCGGTTCCTTGCCCAGGCCACATGGTGGAAACTGAGGGAAGTTCAAGAGCTTGTGGTACTCCACACTCCTAACTAAACCTGCTTAACCAATATATCTCAGGCCTTCCCAGCACAGCCATTTCCTTCCAGAAAAAAACAGAAATGGAACACAAACCCTCCGTGTTCCCCTCAAATCACTATAGACCCAAATAAGTAAAATCAGGATACACGTCTCAAGTCTCTGATCTTCTCTGTCTCTGTTTCTTCTTCCTAGGGACAAATTAGGTGAGCTTTTGTTTTCTTCTATTCCTGTCTTAACCTTATTACTCTATCTCTCCAAGCTGTTGATATATCAAAGAGGGACATAAAAGAATTTAGACACACCTATAGCATAGTCCTAAGGAACTTGACTGCTAACCAGAAGGCTGGCAGTTCAAACCCATTAGCCACTCCTCAGAAGGAAGGTTGGGCAATCTACTTCTGTAGTGAAACAACCTTGGAAACCCAAGGGGGGTCGCTATGAATCGGAACCAACTCGATAGCCATGAGTTTGGTTTTTTGGTTTTTATATCTCAAGACAGTAGCCTAGTTTACAAGACTATTATCCCACTGCATAATCTTATTTTAAATGTAAGATGTTGGATATTAATTCTTTCTTTCAGCTACACTGTTTCTGTTATAATGCCTACTCTTTGCTCAAAGGAAAAAAAAATGGATACCTCAGTCAACTGAGACTAAGATCCTCAGGACAAAAGAGAAAAATAATATCTCCATTTCTTACCTTAATTAACTAGTATATATGGTAAACTAACTACTCACTGCAGTGAAGTCTGATCTGACTCATAGCAACCCCTCCTTGGGTTTCAAAATCAGTATCACTACGGAAGTAGATTGTCCAATCTTCCTTCCAAGGAGTGGCTGGTGGGTTTGAAGTGCCAGTTAGTAATCAATGGTTAGCAGTCAAATGCCTTAGGCACTAAGCCACCAGAGCTCCCGGTATATATGGTAGGTGTTGAATAACAGGTATCATAAATACATTCAACAGATGACAGACCCATCAACACTCAGCTCTATCTTTGAACAAGATCAGGGGAAGGAGAAAGGAAATCCTCCCATCACTTCCACCAAAATGACAATGTGACAATGTGAAGACCTTGGACGAAAGGGATCTCAGATGCTTTTGACAACCCTGACCTGGGAGAACTTGGTTGTAATCAATTTGTACCCATTCTGGCACTTGATCATTCATTCATGTGTTCACTCAATGTGTATTGAGAATCTACATGTCAGAGGGTATGCAAAACCCTTGCTGTTAGGTAGATTCTGGCTCATGGCAACCCCTGTGTTACAGTGTAGAAGTGAACTCCACAGGGTTTCCTTGGCTGTAATTTTTACGTGAGAAAATTGCCAGGTGTTTCATTTGTGGTGCCACTGGCTAGGTTCCAACTTGCAACCTTTCAGTTAGCAGCCGAGTGCAAACTGTTAGAGTTCAGTTAGAGCACAGACTGCTGTGCCACCCAGGTACCTGTGAAGGTGTGCTAAAACGAAAAAATCAAACCCACTGCCATTGGTTTGATTCCAACTCATAGCGACCCTATAGGATAGAGTCAAATTGCCCCATAGGGTTTCTAAGGCTGTAAATCTTTACAGAAACAGACTGCCTCCTCATTCTTCCACAAAGTAGCTGATGGGTTTGAATTGCCAGCCTTTTGGTTAGCAGTGGAATGCTTTAAATACTATACCACCAGAGCTCCTTTTTAAAGATATGCTAGGCACTAAGAATAACAGTGAATAAGACATAACTACAGATGAGATAGAACAGTGGGAATATAAAGGTTGCGGTAATTCAGCAAGAGTTGGTGGATCAGTCATCCCTGCCTGAGGTGAACTTGCCTCTTCTCTAGTGTTCTTGCTTCCATCTGGCCTCCTTTATTTACTTTTCCACATAGAGATCCTAGAGACCTTTATAAGGGACACGTGTGACTGTCCCACACCCCTCTCTCCACAGTTTAAAAGAAAAAGCCTAGTCCTCTCACCCCCTGCAAGCTGAGCTAGGGGACACTGAAAAACAAATCCTTCTAGAGGCCATGGGGCTGTGTGGGAGAGGCTGGGTAGTTAATACTGTTGCTGAGAAACATTTTGGTCTTCTAGATAAGGCAGTTGAGGTTTTTGTTTTTGTTTTTGTTTTTGTTTTCCTTCACCCCTAGTAATTGTTCTTGTCTCTCATTTTAAAAAATCCTAACAGGCAGAGGAACAGCCAAAGTTTGAAGCAAATAAATACATGTATCTGTACTTCGTAGTTTTTATCATCTTTGGCTCATTCTTCACTCTGAATCTATTTATTGGTGTTATTATTGACAACTTCAACCAACAACAGAAAAAGATAAGTATATGTGGGTTGTCCTGACTGGGTAATTTCATCTCTGCTCTCCAAAGAATGGAATGTTATTCTGGTCTAGATTGTTGTGCAAAGTAGCCTTTACCATCTGCATGAGAGCAAAGCCTCAACCTGGGGAAGATTCTCAAAGATGAGGCTGAAAGGGACTTGAGAACACTTGGGTTTTTACCCAATCATTGTTTTATTCTCTGTCTCTGTCTCACTCTCTTATAGACATTGTTACTGTCAATATTAAGCCTGATAGTAATTGAACCCACTAGAATTAATATTTATGACACGTTGAAAAGGGGTTTTTCTTAAAAGCTGAACTTTCCATCAACTTAAATAATTTCTTTCATGGGAGGTAATTTAAGTACATGTTGTTGTTAGTCCTGCTAGAGTCCATTTTGACTCATTGCAACTCCATGTGAGCAGAGTACAACTGCTTAGTACTCATATTTTAACAACTGTTCAAGTGTACTTTGAGTTAAAAATATATATACATTCTCTTTTAGCAAACATGGGTCCTAACCCCCAACACCTAAGCCTTAGTAGAACTATAAAGCCTACTTGGAAAGATGGTTGGGGAAGAGGCAATGTTAGGGAGAATTTTTTCCTATGTTACAATAGACAGATGTTTGTTTTTCTGATCCTAAAATCCATAGAAGCTTTGCACTACATTTGGAAAACAAAGGAAGATACAAAGAAAATTTAAGTTACCCATCAGCAAACCACAGGATAAATCTTTCTGCAATGCCTCTCTTATTATTTTGATACCATTCCTCCCACTTTCTTTCTAACCAAACATTGCTTACAGTTGGGATTACACTCTCTATATTTTCAGTTTTGTAGCTTGACTCTGTTAGTTATGAGTCCTTATCATGAAATCATTTCTGATATAAGGGTTTTCAGGGATGAATTATATCCCATGTTATAGATAAACCACAGTTTGTCATAATCTTCCTCTCTTTTTGAACATTTAGGTAGTTTTCACATTCCTTGCTCTTCTAAAACAATCATGACCATTCTTGAAACTCTTTCTGTGCATCTCTGATTATTTCCTCAGGATCAATTCCTAGAATTAAAATATTTAAGGCATTAAAAATGTGTTGTCAAATTACCTTCCAGAAATGCTATGCTGGTAGAGAGGGAGAACAATGTGGAACAAAACTCAAAATCATTTGGAGGGAAAAAAGGCAGGGGGGGACCAGGTTTGCTGGTCCAGTAGAGCCTGGTGGAACCACTGAGACTATGGCCCCTAGCTGCCTTTCGGGTCTGGAATTGAACCCACACCTGTGGTTTCCAGCCAAACAAAAGACAGGCATATGAGTTGAACATTTACCTCAAGTAGATACACTCCTTGGAGAGGACAATCATGGGAGAAAGAAGGGCTGCTTATGCATAGGGAGACAGCTCAAGGGGCAGGAGCCCATGGAGGGATGGACACTGGGAAGAGGTAACTGGGGGGAGGAGGTAGGAGGGGAGCTGTTGCATTGTGGTAAACTGTGGTCAATGTCATGAGACACAGTGTATGTGAACTGCTGTATGGGAAGTGAATTTGCTCTGTAAATCTTCACCCACATCACAATAAGGAAAAATAAATTTAAAAAAAAAATGCTATGCTGAGTATTCTCCTGCAGGAGATGGGAATGTCTGTTTATTCTGTTCTTATTATTCAGAATGTTAAAACTTTTATTACCTTTTCTAGTTTAATGTTATCTCATTATTTTATTTTCATTTATTTGATCATTAGTAAGATAACACATTTTTTCACAGGTTGATGACCTAGTTAGCATTTTTCCCTTAAGAATTAATTTCTTATATTCTTTGTACATTTTAAAAAATATTTTTATTTTGATTTTTTTGTTGTGGTCAGTATATATAGGAGCGCTGGTGGTGCAGTGAATAAGTGCTCAGCTGCTAACCAAAAGGTTGGCGGATTGAACCCCCCAGCTGCTCTATGGGAGAAAGATGTGGCAGTCTGCTTCCATAAAGATTACAGGCTTGGAAACTCTGTGAGGCAGTTCTACTCTGTTTCATAGGGTCAAAATGAATCAGAATCAACTCAATGTCAGTAGGTTTGGTTTGGGGGTTAAATACATATAACAAAATATTTGCCATTTCAACTTTTTCTCATGTATAGTTCAGTGACTTCATTACATTTATCATGTTGTATGACCATCACTACTGTTGTTGTTGTTGTTATTTTTCATTGAGTCAGACCTGACTCATAGCGACCCCTCCCTGAGTTTTCAAGGCAGTATCACTACAGAAGTAGATTGCCCACCTTCCTTCCAAGGAGTGGCTGATGGGTTTGAACCGCCAGCCTTTTGGTTAGTAGTCAAGTGCCTTAGGCACTATGCTATGTGTTTCCAAACTCTTCCCATCACCTGTAGTGGAAGCTTTTTAAAATGGAATTATCATCATTTTCACACATGTTTTTAGGTAGCAAATCCAGTTCATGACTTGCTTCTTAGATGTTTGTAAGGATGTTTCTGACTTGTAGACATTTAGGATTTTTATGGCATCAAACTGCCAATCCTGTCCTTTTCGGCTTCTTCTCTTGCATTAATATCCTGAAGGCATTTCTCAATCCTCAGGAAACTAAATATTCACCTATGGTTTTCCTAATTGGTTTTTTTTTTTTATTAGGATTTGGGTGAAGATTTACAGAGTAAATTCACTTTTCATACAGCAGTTCACATATACTTTGTCTCATGTCATTGACCAAAATTTACAATGCAGCAGCTCCCCTCCCACTTCCTCCCCATAGTTACCTCCTCCCAGTGTCCATCCCTTCATACTCTTCGAGAGGCCCATTGTCTGCCAACCCTGTATATGATCTTGGATACACTCTCCATTTAGACATACATAATTGTTTAGCTTGTTCACCCATCTATCCGTCCCTATACCCATGTTTGCTTTCATTGACAACTCAGTATTGTATTTACAAAGGGGGGTTTTCCTAATTGTTTTATGGCTCTTTATTTTCTTTTTTCCTGTTGGACTCTTGTAATCCATCTGCAATGCACCTGGATACTGACTAGCCTTCTTAAAGTCTGCTGGGGAAGTCATTCACTGTCCTCATGCAACTATATCATTGCCACTACTCAGGAGTGTGCTAGTTAGAGTCACCTCTGTAATATGCAACTTGATTGCAATCAATCCCTGCAGTTTGGATGTCAGCCCTTGTGATTTTATATTTGGGCTTATATTTGAAATTCCTATTTTGATCAGTCCACAGCACATTTTTGTTTTGTTTTATTTTGTTTTTTTCGTTTTCATTTTGGAAATTTTAAACATGCACAAGACTATAGAGCACAAACCTAAACTACCCATCACCCAGCACAGCATTTATTGGCTTAAGAAAGTCTTTTTGTCCTCTGTGCCTTTATCCAACTCTGACACCAGATCTTTTTTTTAATAGCAAATCATAGACATCACAACATTGCATCAAGTATTTCTTATAAAATATCTCTTTTTAAAACATAACCACAATTCTATTATCACACCTACAAAAAACAATTAATGCAAATTCCTAATATCACTAAAGACCCAGTCAATATTCAGATTTCCCAGATTTTTAATTTTTAAGTACTTATTTGTTTATATTAAAGGTGTTTTGTTTTTGTTTTTTTCCAAATCAGGACTCAAATAAGATCCTCCCATTTCAGAGCTTCCTTGTTCTCTGGAGTAACAAGGTGTCCCAGGATTGGGCAATATCTTTCCTGACCCAGATCAGGAAATCAGCCATTTCTCTAAGGAGTGCTGGTTTCCTTAGTGGGAAATGGTTTTCTGAGACCACAATCTTGGTCATCATTTTTAGGCTATTTAGTGGACAAAGCTACTTCAAATTCATGAATTCAAGGAAATACGTATGTGGAAATACACATACTGATCACTCAGATTCAGGACTATAAGGTTTTCAGTTTCTCTTTTCAAAATCAGGACTCAAATAAGATCTTCCCATTTGAGAGCTTTCTTGTTCTCTGGAATGACTGCATCTTTTCTTTTCCACACTGAGAAATCTAGTATCGAGGGCACTGGAGATGATAGAATTAAAAATTTCCACAATTACTCATTTTCTTCATCCCACAAACACCCAAAACAGTCTCAGAACAACATTATTAATACTATCATGATGAACATGATTATTGAAAGCACTGTTACCACTGCACATCTCAAAATAATGAGGTTAACTTCTAAGGCTGCTATTTTTGGTCCATAGAGGTAGTGTAGATTGAGACTCCAAACCTTCCCTTCCATTCACATTAGGCCACTGCCTTTGATCCCGACCCCTTTGTGGTTTTTAAAATCCAAGAGTCTGTTTTATATCCAGTTGTTGTCAAATCAGTTCTGACTCATGGCAATACCATGTGTTGCACAGTAGAACTATTCCATAGGGTTTTAAAAGCTAAGATCTTTCAAAAGTCTAATTTATAGGTATTAGCAAATGTCTTTAGGCCAGCCATGACTTCAGGGCTAATTTACTACTTTATTTTTTATTTTATTTTATTAAAAAATATTTTTTGATTTGCAGATCATGGAAACTCAGTTATACTTTAAAAGAAATTCTGTTTTGTTTTATCCAGTGTTTCTAGATAATTTGTCCTTCAATTTCCAGAAATTAAAATCCTAGTTCTTTTTTTTTCATTCTTTCTTGCTTAGAAGTGAAAACATTTAACAGCCCCCCCTTTTTTTAATCCCCTGAGAATGACTTCAAACAAGGATTATGAAACTTTGTTGTATTGTTTGATCTATTCATTATTTAGGAGAATTTAATTTAGTATTTTATGAGACGTTTGTCCATATGCTTGTAAAGATTCCATAGATGTTTGCAAAAAATGTGTAACCTTTGTTTGTATTATAAAAAGTGAAGTTTAACTGACAAAAGTAATCTTATTTCTCTTCATTCCTTGATTAAAACTCTATTTCCTTTTAGCCCTCTCTAGAGTCCAGACCCTTTCACTTTTCATTAAAATTTTAAGAATTGTTAATAAAAATGTAATATAACTTTTTTTTTTTTATTAGGATTTGGGTAAAGATTTACAGAGTAAATTCACTTTTCATACAGCAGTTCACATATACTTTGTCTCATGTCATTGACCAAAATTTACAATGCAGCAGCTCCCCTCCCACTTCCTCCCCATAGTTACCTCCTCCCAGTGTCCATCCCTTCATACTCTTCTGCACTCTGAGCTATCTCCCTGTGCATAAGCAGCCCTTCCTTCTCCCATGATTGTTCTCTCCAGGGCGTGTATCTACTTGAGGTAAATATTTAACTCACATGCCTGTACTTTGTTTGGCTGGAAACCACAGTTGTGGGTTCAATTCCAGACCTGAAGGGCAGCTAGGGGCCATAGTCTCAGTGGTTACACCAGGCTCTATTGGACCAGCAAACCTGGTCCCCACCTTCTTTTTTTTTTTTTTTTTTTGCCTCCAAATGATTTTGAGTTTTGTACCACATTGTTCTCCCTCTTTATGCAGGATCTCCTACATCCCTTCCAAGTGGATGGCAGTGGTAAAATGTAATATAACTTTAAAACGATTTCCAAATATTCAGAACTCATCTCAAAAAACAAAAACTATGGAAGTAATTATCTCCCATATTCTCCATATACCTAGGTGGCCAAGACATTTTTATGACAGAAGAACAGAAGAAATACTACAATGCAATGAAAAAACTGGGATCCAAAAAACCTCAAAAACCCATTCCAAGGCCTCTGGTGAGAGCAATTGAGTAATTCTAATTGCTTACATTATGACTGATTGATTAAGTAATGAGGAACCTAGATTTCTGCAATCTCCTTTATTCTTTGAATTCACAGACACTATCTAAGAACTCAAAAAAAAAAAAAAAAAAAAAAACCCAAATGTACTGGTAATTCTCATGTCCTTAGGGAAAGAAGACAATCTAATTCAACAGTAAGACCTTGGGCAACAACTTTCAATTGCTTTTTAGTGAGCACACAGGGAGTGCGGAGGATACATTCACTGCAGGGATGTAAACATAGCAGTTTGTTTGAACTTCATGTTGCCAAAATGTAAAATATATGTGTGATATTTTTGCCAGAAGTTTCTGGTGTGAGGTTGACATCATGCATTCTCATTTGTACTTCACAAGTATTTTTGATAAAATTTCTGCATCAGCAGTCAGCAAATTTTTTCAGTAAAGGACAAGATAGTAATTATTTTAGGCTTTGTGGGTTATGTGGTGTGATAGTTAAAGTTATGTGTTAACTTGGCTGGACCATGGTTTTGAGTGGCTAGGCATCTGGATCTAGTTATTCCCCATGATGAGATTTTAATCATTTTCATGATGGAATCTGCTGTGAGCAGCTAAGTAGCTGCCTTTGGGGAGTGGTCTGCTTCCATTGTATAAGGAGAACTTTTGAGGAAGGTCTCTAGCTTTTTGGCACATCTGGATCCTACATTTGGCCGAGTCTTCATCTCAGTGGCCTGCTGTGTTGCCTGCCAATCTTGGGATTGTTCCTGGACTTGAACTAGTGGTCTGCCACGGGCCTGTTGATTTTGGGATTGTGCCATTCTACTTGCTGACCTTGCATTTGTCAGCCTCAGTAGCCAGCAGCTGGCTGAGATAGAAGTCTCCAGCTCCAGGGGCCTGGAATAAGAGGCAGAGCTGAAGCCCAAGGTTGAAGGGCCTTCACCCAGCCCCTAGAGCTGGCACTCTGGATTTGGACTGTTAGCCTCCTAAAGAGTAGGAGAATAAGTTCTTGCTTGTTAAAGCCATCCCTTTGTAGTGTAGCAGCACTAGAAAACCAAGACCCATGTCCTTTTATCATCATGCTACAAAAACAGCTGTAGACAATACGTAAGTGAATGGACAGGGCTGTGTTCCAATAAAAATTTTTTATGGATACTGAAATTTGGATTTCATATATTTTTCACATATCACAAAATAATATTCCTCTTTTGAATTTTTCCAATCACTATAACTGTGAGGATCATTCTTAGTTCATGGGCTATACAATAGCTATGGGCCAGAATTGGCCTGTGCACCTGGGTTGGTTGACTCCTGTTTTCCATGCATCCAACTTTAAGGTACTAAGGGCAATATCAAAGTGTCAGCCAGTGCTGCTCTGTGCTTGCAGTCTATATGAGGAGCTGGGACGCTGTGTAGACATTTGAGAATATTAGATTCTAAAGTAGCACAACAGTTGTAGTTGATATCCCTGACAACTGAGTTTGAAAGGCTTTCAGGGCAGGGAGGGTCAGTGGGGGCTGAAAAGTTGGGAAAACAGTATGGAAGAGGGCTTTGAGATCTGACTCATTTAAAGGGTTTTAAGATTTTCATTTGGGACAGGAGATCCAATGTGATTCACCACCACCACCACCACCCATTATCTTCAAGTTGATTGCGACTTTGAGTGAAACTATAGTACAGAGTAGAACTGTCCTGTAGAGTTTCAAAGGCTGTAAATCTTTATGGAAGGAGACTACCATATCTTTCTGCTGTGGAGCGGCTGGTGGGTTCAAAACACTGACCTTAAGGTTAGCGGCCGAGCGCTTAACCACTGTGCCATCAGGGCTCCCACCGTAATCTACCAAACTCTAAACCCAACTCACTGCCCTTGAGTCAGACCTGACTCATAGTCTACCCCTCGTTGGATTTCCAAGGCAGTATCATTATGGAAGTAGATTGCCCAACCTTCCTTCTGAGGAGTGGCTGTTTGAACCGCCAGCCCTCTGGTTAGCAGTTACATGCCTAAGGCATGTTTAATTCACTACTGGATTTCCAACACTCAGAATAATATAAAATAGTATATAATGTATTCTCAGTAATTATTTGTTGAATGAAAGAATATGTTTTAGGGCACAGATGATAGTGTATCCTAGTAGTATAGATATTTGTATTGCACTAAAAATGTTTATAAATATCAGGGCAAACTGTTTAGAATTTGTCCTGTATACAATGCAGGATTTTTGACCAGAAATTAATGATAACATTGTAATTGGGAAAGTTTAATATGCCAACAGTCTGTGGGACTTCAGTTTACCTAAGTCAAATCTAGCTTTTAAGTGCCCAATCTCATTTCTAGTACTAATTTCATTTTGAAATTCTCATTTGAACTTGAGCTAACAAAAAAGACAAGGAATTTTTGTTTACATGTGCATTCACACAGCCACTGACTCAATACCAGCTGGTCCTAGGTTAGGAATGAACTACAAGACTCATGAGGCTCAATGTGTTCCTTCATATTGACCAGTTTACTTCCTAAAGATTTGAAGTGAGCACTGCAGCACACAGCCAAACAGAAGCTGTAACATCACAGAGGCAGCTTCTACATTCCTCCACTGCACAAGGCATGTTTGGCAACAGTGGATGAACTTGAAGTTGGCATGGATTGTCAATTCCATTCCTTACCTATCTTTTACGACATTTGTCACATGGTTCCTCTGGGGTAGGTGCTCAGTTGCAGCCCTCCCAGTGCAACTACGACTTGCCAATCAAGTTTCCACAGTGAACAATTCTGATCACCAAGTCTAATGTCACCAGTTAACTCCTTCATCTTAACTTCCTGCATTCCAGAGAGCAGTGCTGCAGGAGATAGATCCAGTGTCACCTCCCCAGGTGTCCCTGAGTGTGGGCTAAGACTTCCAGTCAGCTGCTAACCTTTTACCCTCAACTTTACCTCCTAGAGAGGAAAAAAAAACCTCAAACAAAACTCACTGCCAATGAGCTGATTCCAACTCACAGTGACCCCCACTGGGTTTCTGAGGCTGTAAATCTTTACAGAAGTAGGTGGCCCCATCTTCCTTCCATGGAGCAGCTGGTGGATTTGAACTCCTGACCTTCTGCTTAGTAGCCAAATGCCTTATCCACTACACCACCAGAGCGCCTTACCTTCCTAGAGGTTTTTTAAATCTCTGAAATCTAAATATTATCTTCTGACTTTGGGAACAAATGACTAGCTATTGTATGCTGGGACAGGGGAATTCAACTTTTTTAAGCTTGAGAAGGGATGCTTTTCATTTTGAGCAATAGTGCAAGGGATCTGGAATAATTTTCTATTTCTTCTGAAGCATCCACAGAGGAATGCTTACTTGGGTTAAAAATCATACTGAGATGGAGGAGTCAGTATACGTGCTGAAGTGACATAGACTGACAAAGAAGGCTTTTGCATCATTACTGTTTTAGATCATTTATACCCTTAACCTCCATTTGTCTAAATGTTAGAGCTGAACTAAAGAAGTGGATCTTTATTCTTGCCCCTCATTCTGCTTCCCCATAGAACACTCTTAAAAGTATCTTTTCTCCTAGGTCCTTTTTGGCTTCTCAGATGTATTCCTACATAGGGATTGCATTTGACTTTCACATATCTTCTCCAAGCTCCTTGATAAAAGGCTTAGGGCTGTCAGCTCATGATTTGAAAGACACAAATTTAAGCATAGTGTCCCTCCGATGCTGTCCCTCCTGTGTTTCTTCTCACCACCCTTGCTGTACTGAGTGGTATCATTTACTCTCATGGTTTCAATTCACATCAATACTGATGCCATTGAACCGCATACTTGTTGTCCAGCTTCTGCACCTCAACTCCAAACCCACACCTGCACCTGCCCCATGGTCCTTGGATGTCCCATTGGACATGCTCAGGACAGAGCTCATCACCTGCCTGCAAAACTGCTCATCCTTTGTGTTCTCCAGCTAGTTGAATGGCTCCACCGAACAGACATGAGAGCCTCAGCTTTCACTACAGTCAAATAGTCTTTGATTCCTCTTGCTCCTACCTCCATGTTAGCTCTTAAATCTATGAACTTAAATTAACTCTTAAATTTATAAGGTTTAAATCTGTTAACTCTTTCTCCACAGTTATCCCCACAAGCCTGGGTTACCACACAGATCCTTGGGTAATCTCTAGATTATCACAACCAATCTTTAGATGTATTCTAAATAGAATTGTGTATGCATACTTTGATTAGATGATAATATAAAATATATGTATATTCTAAAACAACCAGTTTATAGTCAAAAACTCCTACACAATTTCAGTGTCTGAGTATGTGTTTAAGTATGTGTTTCCACCCAGTAGAGACCAAAATAGTGCTTTACAGCAGTTACACTAAGAAACTAGTGGAATAACTGCATCATTTCAATGCCCATGGTAGATTAAGCATGCTAACTTGGGTTGGAACCTGTGCCAAAGCAATTAGTACATGCTCACTAATCAATGGTATGGCCATCCATTCACAAGCCAATGTGTAAGTTTGCCATCAGTAATAATATGAAATAATCTATTTTTATGTTTCCATTTTTAGTAATCGTTGAGTCATAGTCCCATTTATCTAGCCTTATCCTCAAGTAAACAAGAATGAGAAAATTGGCATTCAAGAATTACCTAAATACAGAGTTTTGGTTAAGTGTAAGGTCTGCTTATTCTGAACTGGTAGTCAGAGCCTTAGAGAAGTTAATTCTATTTTATCCAACACACTTACATAAACTGGTATTCTCTGCATTAATATGACTGAAGTCAAATTACAGAAACAGATGAAATATGGAGAGTAAGCTTCTTTTTCTTCTGAAACCCAACATGAGCTACTTTCTTTCAGCAAAACAACATCATCCATCACATCAGAACTATGTTGTTAATAAAAATTGTATAAGCCTAAGCAGCTTATAACCAATTACATAATAAAATTTAAAGGAAAATATGTCAGACACTACTGGGAATCTACAAGGATTTCTTGTCTTTTAACAAGTATCTGTGCCTTTTTCAAGAAACTGCTTTATTTGTAAAAGAGAATGCATTCTATTGTCTTCATGTGCCTTTTTTATGTACGTGATTTCATTCTTACAACTTGAAATAATCTATGATTTCTTTTTCTCCCCCTCAGAACAAATGTCAAGGTCTCGTGTTCGACCTAGTCACAGGCCAGGTCTTTGACATCCTCATCATAAGTCTCATTGTCCTAAACATGATTAGCATGATGGCTGAATCAGCGGACCAATCTGAAGACATGGAAACCAACCTTGAGCATCTCAACCTGGCCTTTGTGGTTATCTTTACAATAGAGTGTCTCATCAAAATCTTTGCTTTGAGGCAGTACTACTTCACCAATGGCTGGAATTTATTTGATTGTGTGGTCGTGGTTCTTTCTATTGTTAGTAAGTAAAATCAGCAGCCAGAGGGGCTTTAGAATGAGAGCCAGAGGTAAACTTGTAAATTGCCATGAGTCATGCAAATTATGTATGTCCAAATAATCCACAAAGCCATGGATCTGCGCTTAACAAGGTTTGTGAAATAATAAAATGCCATTCTCTAATGAGAAGTTGCCAGGAGATACAGTATAATTTCTATACTGTTGACTGTCTACACAATTGACATGGAGAGTTAAATCTCTATGTGGATAGTTTCTTCAATGAAGATAGAAAAAATTAAGATGACTTAAAAGTTTTTGTGGGAGCTACACAATTTACTAAACTAATTGAGTCTGATTCACCTTTCTGGTGCAATGCTAATCCCTGATAAACGTTTTATGTAGTTGTAAGGATTTGGCCTTCAGTGTCCCATGTTTTTTCTTTGTTCAAATCCCTATGGGTACCCGATCACAGTTGCCCCCTGAGATAATGCTGTGCCTTCCCTTGCCACCTCTGCAGGGCCCCAGGGCCATTCTGGATTGGGCCTCCTAGGGTGTGTCATAAGGATAACCAGGGTCTTCTTTGCTCCATATCCCCTGTTAATTTAAATGACTATACTTATCTCAACTTCTTTGACACTTTCATCAACCTGCCATATTCTAAAATCGGTGTATTTTCCTTACCATGGACAGGAGTAACTATATTTATGGAAGGAGATTATTAAAAAAAGAGACTTATTATAGGATATCTTTTTATTAAACACACAGACAAACACACATACATGTCAGCTATGAACATTAAATTCTTCATGGCTAAACCATGAGTTTACTCTGTTTTTTGTTTAAAACTAAACCTTAAATTTAACTTTTATAATTGTGTAAAACTGCCCAGGAGCCCTTCTCATAGTTCAAAAAGACAATGGAAACTAATTTGACAATTGGAAGCTTCTGTGTACTCTCAGAAAGAAACCAATTTGTTGGATTAAAATATTTTGGTTCCTGTTGCTACAGCAATGAAGATGTTTCAGAGAGCAAGAAAATGGTGCAACTGACACTCTGCTCCGGTTTCTCAACTATAAAACTTACATAGATAAAGTTAAGCAATCAATTCTTCAGTGGGCTTAGAGTTCAATAGACTTTTAAACCTTATTAGTCAATTCCAGTCACAAGTTCTGGTAAAACTGACAGCAGCAATAAAACTTAGAGAATGGTGATAGGATGAGTCTGGGGTGTTCCCTTTAGAGACCATACAGGGCCCTTCCTCCAACATCCAGGAAGTAACTCATTCATTTCACTGTTTATTGAGCTCATTCCAGGCAGTACCAGGCCTTGTACCAAAAAAAAAAAAAAAAAAA